TCTTTTTGAATAATATAAGAATATATTGATCTTTTAGTCCTTTAAAATTCATGTCCTTGATAAATAATATTATAAAATAAAAACAATATCTTCATAAGAATTTACAAGTCTATTATTATTATTATTATTATTATTATTATTTTTAATTGTATTTAAATATATTCACTTTATATGTGTATATATATATATATATATATATATATATATATATATATATATATATATATACATATATATTATTTTATACCTTTAAAATTTTAAAGTTATTAAGAAATTTAAAAAATTATGCTTAAATTTTATTATAAGAAAAGTTTTATATATTAATATATATAGATATATTTAATAAAGATTTATATCTTTAATCAATTAAATTTATGTAATAACTATTTGGTTATTATTATTAATAATATCAAATTATTTTTATACATAATATATGATAAAAGAATTTTTAATTTAGTAATAAAATATATTATATTATATTATATTATATTACATTTATTTTTAATCAAAGAAATAAAAAAGCAATAGTTGCTTGGAAATTTTGTTTATATAATTTTTATTCTATATTTATTAGAATCATGATTTTATACCACTAAAGCCAAACAACATGTTATCTTATTAAATTTTGCTTTTAGAAAATAAGCTATTTGGTATTAGAAAAGGAAGAAAGAATGAAAGAAGAGGATTAGATAAGTTTTTGAAATAATATATATATATATATATATATATATATATATATATATATATATATATATATATATATATATATATATATATATATATATTGGATTAAATTCTTAGAGCTCTTAAAATTCTTAAATGTATAAATTGTATAATCTTTGAGCCTTACTAGGTTAAAAAAAACCTTTGTAGAAAATTGAGATTGTTATTAATGTAGAGTATCAAATATGTGTTAGATGTAAATATAAAAATAAATCTATAAGACATATTTTTTTAATAAATATAATTTTAAATATATTTTAAAATAGAATAATAATTTTAAAAGTATAAAAAATATCAATTTAATATTTAAAAAATCTATAAGAAAAAATCTTATATTTAAATATAATAAAATAAATCTTTTTTTATAAAATTTTAGTAATTAGAATAATTTTATAAAAATATTATAATTAATATAAATATATTTTATACTTTAAATTTAAATTATAAAAATTTGGTCGAAAGAATTTTTAATTAATTTTTTTTTAATAAATATCATTTTAAAATTTTAAAATCAATAAATATAATTTCTAGTCAAATAATTATCTTATAATTAGTAAATTTTTAATTATTTTTTTTAATTAGAGAAATTATCTATTTGAATAAAAAAATAAAATGAAGAAAAAAATTGATTTGAAGTAAAATGTATGTAAATAAATATTTTGACACTTTAATTACATATGTTTATACTTAATAGAATTTTCTCAAATTCACAATGATAATTATTGATTTGTAATTTCTTCTTGGTTTTTTGCATAAATTATTCGACATGTCAACTCAATACTATTGTGTATAAAATTGATTCATGATTATGGATGAATTTTTTGTAAAGGAGTCAATTTGTTCTCACTTCATGCCTTTGCCTAGACTAAAGATATTTGGATCTTATCTAAATGATGCCTAATTTACATTGGATAATCAAATTACCAAATTTACAGATAACCGAATGATCTTGTGGCTTCCTTTATAAAGAACTTTGAAAACATTCTATTATTTAAAAAATATATTTTAAAGTTCTATTAATAAACTAGAAAAACTATCTATTTGTAGAAAGATTGAAAGTAGAAAATAAATAGAACTTTAAAATATATATATTTTTAAATTAAAATTACTACAACCTAAGAAATTTGTTCTCAAGTTTTCACATTTTTATACTCACTCTTTGTGCTTCCAAGTAGCAATTGTATAATAAACATTATGGGTCTGTGTAACCAACATGCCATCACTAGACCTTCATGGATGTTCATTCTCTACCTCAATGTCTTCTTCAGTGGTTTGCTCACATATCTTAACTACCATAGCACATGGGTTTTATAATCACCGGGAATCAAGTAATGCGAATCCTCACATGTTCACTCCTACACCAATGCGCGAGATGTAGAGGGGGCAAAACCTCCGTTTGCCATCAACTGTGGTGGATAAGCAAGAGTGCCTTTTGTTAGACTGCAATAGCTCCCGCACCTAAAACTTCTTCACCTGTATTCAAAATGAGAGTTTTGTCCTTACAATCAGACCGACTCGAAAGGTTTGATGGATTTTGCAACGTGGGGGAGCAATCTCTTAAGTCCACAAGTCATCTAGCAGAGATCATTTCATGTTGGAAAGACGGAGTGAGAGATGCTAGATGTTTCTAAACCGGAGAACTAAGAGTTGACATTATGAGGTTTCATCCTAATTCGTCAGATTGAGACTCGTCTTGGGCAATGAGATAGAATGAATTGCTTCAGTCTATTCTTATCTCAGTTGTTATTACTAGTTCATCTAAGTTTCTCACTTTCAAGAACGGAGTTGTGGATCAAATCATCTGGAATATCACTCTTGTTGGACAATACTTGAGGTTAGAAACTATGTCGGTATCGATAACCCCTGACCCTACTTTGCACATCACGCAAGTTTGAACTTTTTTAGCCTCAATCTACTTTTAGAAGCGAAACTCTCATGTTTTCACATCCCTGTGCACCCCACCTTACGAAACTGAACCCACATGCTAATGCAAGCGCCACATTAAAAAAAACACACATCAGCTGTTCGGAATCTCAAAGCATAGATTCGTTCATTTACTAAGGTGGAAGTGCGCAGCTAGGTCATAGTCATGAAATCGTGGTTCTACTGAGATCAAATAATATTGTGTTGCATATTGCACTCAAGGGTGACACCTCATCTCCACAGAAACCAAATGTTACCTCATATTTGAATGAAAATATTTCGTGAGACCTGCAAACTTCGAAACTCGACGACGATCTGAGAATCTATGTTAGGTACTACTCACGGCTATTGTTGTGAGGGACCAATACACCAGAGCACGATGGTTTAGGAGAACTTTAAGAAGGATTCACTAAACTTATCAGTTACGATTACAACACTATGAAAAGCTCTCAACACATGTACTTCGTGAACATTTAGATCTGGGGCGGAACCACTGATTCTGTCGGGGGAGCAACTTGCTGGTCTACATCTGCGTTGGAGCTGATGATGCTTTCAATGGAAGTAAGTGCTGCTGTTGCGTTAGTTGGCATTCATGGTACGCCGGCCTCATGGGTCCTTCTAGTTCAAAAATCTTACGAAGTAATGTCGGGGAATTCCAAGAATGTAAATATCAACGTTCAATGAAAGCATCTCATGTGTAGAAAACCTGTCCATATTGCTATTGCGGGTACAATTTCCTCTGACCCCTAATTGTGCACTTGTTCGATAACTCATCGTCATCCTTGCATAATTATAAGGCATCATGATACTCGCGGGGTAATCACAAAGTTGTCAGAGGACAACCAGCTTCCTAGTGCAGGTACCCCTTTGCCAATCCACTGCCTGTGCAATCTTCTGCCACCGCCTGATCTGAGCGTATTTACATTATTCTGTCACCTTCAATGTGTAGTAAATGCCCATCTCGTGCACCTCAACAAAGAGGCAGCTTGCACAGACACACCCCACGTTCTTCATCCCTCCCAGTTCACGTCGCCATTTTGGATTAATAGACGGCGCTCAATGCATTTACCTTGTTATGTTTGAAGCGGACAAATGGACTGCTTTTTCAGTTGTGGATTTCGAGTATAATGAGCAGCAGTGCTCACCCGATTCAATTTTCTGAATGCGTTGACTGGTTGAAGGTTTGTGATGGAGGGATTTGTCTCTGTTCAAGTGGTCGCCGACCCAACTGACATGGAAGTAATTTCACTAGATAGCGAGAAGGGGGAGGATACTGGTGGAACAAACAACGAAGACTTGTGCGAATGACAAACGCTCCTTTATCCAACCAAAGAAAGTGGATCCAGTCAAGTGAAGGCCCCGGGAGCATATCCCTAAAGGAGTGTGTAAAAGTACGTTGACTTTCTCATTAAAAAGTCTCACATGGAAATCTCAGTCGATAGATGTTGAGCAAAACAAAAGAAGTTCCAAGATAAAACTTGGGACTATGGTGTTTTGCAGGAGCCATTTTTCATGCTTCCAAGCTAAATTGATTGTTTAGAGGTCTTGATCAAACAATAGTAGAGCCATGCATATTGCTTAACAGGACATAGACGATGATCTAGACAAAAACTATTCTTCACTGATCGGAAAAAATCATAACTACCCAACTTAGCTCAGGATTGGTACCCAATTGTCTTAGTATTATCCTTCAAAGAATATAAAGGGTCGTTTTGCAAAAAAATAATTTTCTTTTTTCATCCCAATTTTACATGTTCTACTGATATCCTTTACTTAAAGATTTAGAATAATGTAAGGATAGTCAAAGGGTTTGGATATAGAATTTTTAATATTGGCAATAGGCTAATTATTCACCCACCCCAGATTGCAGAATCACAATTATTAATACAAATTGCAAACGATGATTGCCTGCAACCTCTTACACAAATGATATTCTTTCTACCATCAATTTAGCACATCGAACCTCTTATCTATACAGGATATATTCATATATACACACACATACATACAATCAAATTGAAGGTTTGTGTGTGTTGGGTAGATTGTGAATCCCATCGATTCGGATGATTCCGGACCCTTAAGGGCAGTTCAATAGATTCATCGTTTTCGGTGGGTAGAGTTTAAAGTACGCATGGCGTTGGAACCTAGAGTTACACGGATATGGACCACAATGCTTTCGATCACCATTGAATGTCTGCAATCATAATGCAGCTTCACTGCTATCACATCCAAGATGGCATGATGACAAGCTTGACGATGGTCAGTACTTCTTCGCAGGGAGGTTAATGGAGATGGCTGTGACCTGCAAGGGAGCATTCAAGGCACAGCTGTGTGGGAATCACAGATCTGAGCAATACAGCTCAAAAAGGCATGAATAATCGCTACCCTTCACACCCTGACGAGTTTTGCTTTGACTACCCCGTTAACTTGAACTTGCTACGACAATCCAATTCCAGTATTTCCAGAATTGCTATTGCAGCAATCCAGAGGGAACAGGACGAGGTGCGAGCTCCGTGAGGTCCACTGCAGCAGCTAATATGGCTATCATCAGTGATTTGACGAGATCAATAGTAGCTGTGGCAATTGCGCTAATTTGGTGCACCGCAACAGCAAGCGCCGAAACGGATTGCAGTACCCAGTTCAACAACCTGGCTCCATGCTTTGATTTCGTTAATAACAACGCTGTCAAGGCTCCTTCGACGCAATGCTGTTCTGCCTTCAAAACTACCGAGGCCAAATTCCCGGTTTGCCTTTGCCAGCTGCAACAAACATTCAACGATCCCGCCACCGCGCCCGGAAATCCGGTAAGAGCAAACCAGATACCATCTGCTTGTGGAGTTGCTGTCGATCCAAGTAGGTGCCCCGGTCTCCTTGGGTTGCCTCCGACGCCTACCCCAGTGCAAGCACCCGTCGCAACTCCCCCGACTGTTCCACCCACCTCCGCAGGACCTAGTGGAATGAACGTCGACTGTTCGAACGAGTTCAGTGAGCTTTCTTCCTGCTTCGAATACGTTGCTTCCAACGTCACGAAACCCACTGCAGCTTGCTGCTCTACACTTTCCGAAGTGCACCTTAATAGGCCTGTGTGCTTGTGCCAAATCCTGAAGGAGGTGAACAGTGGAGATCCTGCTACTGCAGGTCTCAATGTCACGAAAGGTTTGGAGCTTCCTGCTGCTTGTAAAGTCGACGCCAACGTCAACAGTTGCCCAGCTCTACTGGGAGAACCCATCTCGTCACCATCGCCATCAGCTGAATCCCCAAAGAGCACTGCCGATACTACATCTGGTCAGAAAGCTGGCTCTCCTGCAGATTCTGTCGCCACTCCAGATGCGTCCACAACTGGTCCTGACGGCAGCGGTGGCTTCATTCTCCCAGCTTCATCTGGTGCCCGGTTGCTCCAGAGTTTAGCTCTTGTCACTGCATTGCACCTCATTTTTTGATGTCGAGGTAGCTTATTCCCTACCATAGTGCTGATGCTAGAGCAATTGCTTTCGCACAAATTGTCTGTGTCTCGATGCCATGTTCATTGCTGTGTGGTTTCTGTCAATAGATTAATTTCAATCCGCCAGGGGCACTTGAAGAATCCGGTAGTCTAGCTTATTCCCCTCCGTAAAGTTTCCCTGAGACGTGTGTCCTGTTGGCACTGCAAGTTTGCTACGACGTTGCAACACTTGACAGTCACGCCAGCACTCTCTGGATTTTAGATTATTTCCCTGCACAGAACGTAGAGGTTTTGATGTAATTTAGCAACTCCTAAATGATTGGCAAATAAGAATTCAGTGCTTGTCGCACTTTGCAACTCCTTGCTTGCAGAATTAGATTCAGGCTTCTAAGCAGCCAGTGGTTCATGAGTTCAGTCCGATCCCCTTCCAATGCCCCGTTCTTTGTTACGAGAAAGACGGTTTGGTGTTGCAATTTCAGCTTCAAATATCTGCATTACTACTCTCTTGCTTCTGTGTGCTCATGGTAGCTTCAACATTCCTTGCTAGGTTGTTGTATCGACATCCCCAAATGCCGCTTCTTCCATCTTTTCGATGACAGCGTCTGCTTGCTTTCTGTTCATGTCAGGATTTGTTTTTCTAAAACTTGTCTCTGTTGATTTGTTTTATTTTATCCTGTAGTTAAAATTTTTGCATTTTGTGTAGGTGTGTGATTATCCATACAGAGAAAGACCATTGGTAATTTGGCATGGCTCTCTGTTGCGTGAGCAACATTACTTCAAAATAATATAAGAAGATTCTGTATAAAAATAGACTAAGTTATTAATTTATTGTAAGTTAAAATGTGGTAATTTATGTTTTTTTTATTAAAATTATGAAGTTTAATTTCATTTTATTTTTATGGATATTTTTAGAAAATTTTAATGCAATTTTATGAAAATCTACCTTGAAGTGGATCTAATGTATAAGATGCACTAAAAGAAAACAACTAACTAGTACTAATAGTAAATTTTGGAACTTTGTTAATCATAATATTTATGTTTTTATAAAACATTTTTGAATTGGATTTGAGGTTGTATTTATAATGAAAAAAAGAAAAAAGGAAAATAGAAATTATTATCTATATTTTAAAACTATTTTTAATAAAAAAATTATTTATTTGCTAAATAGAGATTTTCTCTTTAACAATTTTACAAAATTTCAACAGTTAAAAGTCCATGGTAGGAAGTACAAGGTTTCTAATAGAATTATAGAAAAGGTAGAACCAAAATATTAAAAATAAAAATCTACAATATTTTTACTTATGAATAAAATTAGTATTATTGATTTACTTATTTATAAAACACAAAGTTTTTGTATAACAAAAAAAGTTGATCATAGATATACTAGTATCATTCTTTTGGATGTTTTGATAACTTGAGATGATATTAATGATATTATTAGAGTTTCTATTGTTGCTCCTTTTATGCTTCCTATATTTATGTCACATCCAATAAATTTGATTCAACAAGAGTAATTTAAAATATATATATATATTTTATGAAAAATTAGAGGCAAAATTGCATGTCTAAATCCATGGAGTTGCTTAGTGTTCTTGTTTCTTTGTCTAAATCACTTTGTCATCGATAAAAAAATATTTTATCCTTACAAATCTACTTTATTGTTAATGACAACATTCTAATCTTCATAGGATCATTTTGCTATTGATGAGCCAAAACTAAAGGTATCATTAGATGTCCAAATCCCTAGAATTGCTCAACATCTTCATCTCATTGCTTAAATCACATCATTGTTGGTGACAATGTTTTTATCTTAGTGAGACCACTTCAATACTAATGATTTAATTTGAAATCATTTAAATAAATAAACAACCTTGAAGAAGTCATTGTATTTGAAAATGTTGGTAGTAATTTCACTAATAGATAACTTTGTTCAAATATTTGTGTATATTTGCTACAATAAAAAAGTGGCCACTAGGTTTTGAGTAGACAACTTCTTTAAGCATAATTTTAGTAGATCTTTAGTAGAAGTCATTTTTTTAAACTTAGACTTCTTAAACTTTTTAACTTTATCTTTTTATTAAGTAAACTAAGCTCATTCATGCTTTTGTGCATCTCAAGCTTCTCATATATCAAATACAAAAATAAAAATAAATTATCATGAAAGATACATCTATAATATTATAGTTAGAAGTAATTCCTAGAAGTAAGCATGGTTGTACTCTAATGCTCATGTATTGTAGCATCATTGATAGATGAATGGTATATAAACAAAAGACAATTCAATGATTTATTATATAGCTCATAAGTTGATGAGTTGCAACAAACCTACTTACATCTTTGAAGAGTAAATTTTTTTTTATAATTGCACCAATTATACATAAGAGGTAATTATATTCAATGATTGAGTATGTGACTTATGAATTAATAAACTACAACAAATGTACTTGTGTCTTTAGAGAATATAAATTTTTTTGAAGTTGTACCAATTACTATTTGGATGGTAGTTTATAATCATACAATGATTAGTTCATGCTATATCTTCTTTTGTTTTATGTTTAGTTTTGTTAAAGACATATGTAAAGCATGTTTGTGTTACTTTTATCGTTATATTGACACTCATATCTATTGTTTTAATTGAAATCTCAAATGTGTTCATAGCATCAAAACATTAGAAATATTTGTACAATATTATAATAATAAAAATGTATGTGGAGTATGTGTGATGTTACTTTTCTTGCTATATTTGGTATTAATATTGTACTAATAACTAAGTCAAGGCAAAAATAAATATTACAACTTTCTTCTTTTGTATTAATTCATTTGTATTGCACAAATAACTTACACAATATTAGATAGTGCATAATCCTTAATATCTAAGGCTTTCAATTGTAAAAGTTATAATTACATTAGAGTTTTTTTAGTTATTAGATAATAAATGCCAACATCATATACACAATCTTCTTTCCAATTAAGAATGAAGAATTTTCTTATGTTGAAGATATTAATCCTTAGGTAGATTTGAGCAATAAGGATTTATATTGAAGAGAAAAATCCTTTAATTTTAAGATACTAGCAACTTGATTAATGTAAAAAATTTATTACTTTTTATTCCAATTTATTCTTTTATAAACTTCTTGCGTATAGTAAAGCAAAGGTTTTTGGTTTTAATGACAAATTTATTTGTATGATGGCATTTCATAGCCACACAACTATAATAGTTGCAAACACTAGAGATCATTTGAGGGTTAGAATTTTATTAAAATTACAACAATTATTTGTGATAAATTATAGTTCTATTGTAATTCTATCAAAAAATATCGTTGTTTTAGTGACTTAGAATAAATTAACAACAAAGGCAATTGCACAAGATATTTCCAATATTATTGTCAAATCACAAAGTGTAAAAATTGCATGAAAAAAATCAATTGAGATACTTTTGAACATATTGTAGAAAATGGATGCATTTATTATCTTAAAATAGATGATTACAAAGCTGTAATTTTTTAAAAATAAACATACATTAAAAAAATAAATATTTATTTTATTAATATGTGGTTGATTTAATAAATCCAATAAAAATAAAATAGTATGCTTCCTAATCAATAATATAAATTTGATACATCAATAAAAATATTATAATCAAATATGAGTAATTATTTGAAAAAAATGAGAAATGAGAGGACTTTCTTAAAAAATAGGTAAATTTATATTTTATCATAACAAAAGAAGATTATACTATATGATAGATAGTAATAAAATTAGATGCTATCTTATAAAATAATGTCATAGAATATTTGATAAAAACTTAGATTTATCTATAAAAAAGTTTATTGGAGCTTAGACAAACGAATTTGAGCGCATGAACCATATTGTGACCTTTTGCATAAAAAGAATTTATACTTGTCTTAAAGAACACTTACAAATATTTATTAGAGACATGTTGATAGTATACATAATATAATATGATACATGCCTACAAGGTTGAATACTTAAAAATTACTATACAAATTATTTAGGAATAACTCAAAATTGGCATCAAGCATCAAATTTTCTTTTAAGCAATGATTTATACAAAGATTTTATATTATGAATTTAATAAAATATTTTAATAATATTTTTAGGAAAATATTTACTAAAAATTAAATTAATGGAGAAGAAATTATGTAGGGGCAAAATTCAAAAAAATATTTAGACTTCTTACTAGTATGTAATCAAAAAATGCATTGAACTTGGAGAAGGATTGGCAACGAATCATTTCTACAAGCATTAAAAACTTTGACAATTATATGAAATATCTACCTTGTCTACTAAAGTGAGAGTACAAAAAAAATTAATCAATCTTGTAATATTATTAGAAATTATATTTAAAATTAAGTCACCCTACCAAAAACTTATAATATAAATTTAATTCTAAAATATTTTTAAATATAAAATTAGTAAAGATTTTACCTTGGTTCAAAATCCCATAATAGGAATAACATAGAATGGATAGCCAAATAAAATAAAAAAGCTATATAAGAGATTTAGTTCAACCCAATGTCACGGCCATAATCATGTAAGCTAATAATTACATATAAAAATAGGTAGAAGTAAGTAAAAGTAGATAAAAGTAAGTTAATTGTATAATATTTAATATAAAAGCTTCCTAGAAACTTCCTAGACGCTGCTTTGACTTCATAGGTGTCTTTAATTGACTTTTTGGATTAGAAACGTGGTCAACAAGTTGGCCATGTGCCACACATGTTGTTAGCTTGAAGATCAAGCTAACTATGTGGCCCACACGTAGAAAAACTTGCCTTGTAAGTCAAGGCATGTGTCCTACAAAGTCAACACATATTGGAGGTCCTATAGAACGTCGCCACGTAGCCCCTAGTTAGATAGTATATATAGAGACAAGAGTGAAGGCTTCTTCACTCTTGTCAACTCCTTTCTTGCTTCTAGTCCAGGTTCAAGAGTCTTTAGTTTCTTGTCTTGTGGCAATAGCCATTCCAGTTTCCTTTTAATATACCTACTTGTTTATATTTTGACTTATTATATCGAGATAGCCTTTTGGTGTATATTTTTCCTCATCGAGTCTTTGTCCTTGACAAATTGACAAGAGTGCACTTACAATATCAGAGCTTTGTTTTTTCTTGAGTAAGAGTGGATTACCCCTTTCTCTTGACAAGACATAAGCGTATTAGAAGTTTGCGGATTACCCACTTCTAAACTGATATTGTTCTTAGCATCTTCTTTGTTATCAAGTCTTTCTTTTCTTTTGTCTTGAGCAATATCAAACAAATTTTTCTTCTTAGTGTCATTATGGCAGAGCTTGTTGAAATGAAGAGTGCAATGGCACAAATGCAAGAGCAAATGAGGGAGTTAATGCTTGCGATG